GCTAGGTCCCGGCCCCGCTGGCCACCGCCCGTGGGAAAGCCGCTGGCTCGTGTCAGCCTCGGGCCACTCACACAGACGCTCCCCAAGCCCGGGGGCCTCCCCGTCCAGCCATGCAGCCACTGACACAAGGGGCCTGAAAAGCGCTGGCTGCCAGCCCCAGAGAAACCGCGCAGTGGGAAACCTGGGTCTTCAGATACGTGTCGTGCTGCATGGACCGCGAGCTCTCGCCAGGCCAGGGTGGGACTTGCTGAGAACAGTCCTGGGGGGAGCACTGGGCGTCCCCTGGGGCCAGGGAGCGCCAGGCAGCCTATGATGGGGCTTTCTCGCTAGGTGGGAGCTGGGATCTTGTCATGAGTCGGATTCTCGCTGGCCAGGGTGCACCTGGGTCTTCAGATACGTGTCGTGCTGCATGGACCGCGAGCTCTCGCCAGGCCAGGGTGGGACTTGCTGAGAACAGTCCTGGGGGGAGCACTGGGCGTCCCCTGGGGCCAGGGAGCGCCAGGCAGCCTATGATGGGGCTTTCTCGCTAGGTGGGAGCTGGGATCTTGTCATGAGTCGGATTCTCGCTGGCCAGGGTGCAGGAGGATTGCTGCTCTCTAAGGGTATGTCTAGACTACATGGCTCCATCAACGGAGTTTACTAGACAAAGGACAATGAAGCAGCGATTTAAATAATCGCCGCTTCATTTACATCAAAATGGCCGCCGCGTTGTGCCGAACAACTGTTTGGCGGCACAGCGGGGCAGTCTGGACGCGCCACGGTCGACAAGGGAAGCCTTTGTTGACTGCTCCGGTAAAGCTCATTTCACGAGGCATCCCGGAGCGATCGACAAAGGTTTCCCTTGTTGACGGCGGCACGTCCAAACTGCCCCGCTGTGCCGCCAAACAGCTGATCGGCACAGTGCGGCGGCCCTTTTCATGTAAACGAAGCGGTGATTATTTAAATCGCCGCTTCATTTCCCTATGTCTAGTAAACTCATCTACATGGCTCCATCGATGGAGCCATGTAGTCTAGACAAACCTAAGGGTACGTCTAGACTACAGGCTTTTGTCGACAGATACTGTCGACAAAGCTTCTATCGACAAAGAGCATCTAGACGACATCCAGTGCTGTGGACAAAGCAACCCGCTTTGTCGACATGAGAGTGTAGACGCAAAGGACAGCGTAGATGCACTAACGCCTTCTGTTGACAGAACTCTCGACAAAAGGTGTTATTCCTCGTAGAATGAAGTTTACCACTGTCGACAAAACTGCCGAGTTCTGTCAACGTTATGTCGACAGAACTCGGCAATAGTGTAGACACAGGTACAGTTTTGTTGAGAAAAGGCCACTTTTGTCGACAAAACCCTGTAGTCTAGACACACCCTAATGGACTGCAGGGGTCAGTAATTCTCCCTCCTCTCTCTGGAATAGCGCCTGTCATCTCTGCAGTTAGGCAAATTATACTTTGCAAAAGTTCTGGGAGAGGGTGAGGGCTCTTGCGCCCATTATACAGCTCCCGTCGCGAAGGCATTGCTTCAGGGTGCAGAGGGTCGGCTCTGGTACGTGCGCTACAAAGACAGTCCCTGCTCCAAAGAGTTTACAGTACAGGAATCAGAGACAAGTGATTCACCCAAGAGCAGCCAGCCAGGGCAAGGAATAGAACTCAGCCCTTTTAGTGCCCATGTAAGTGCTCTAGCCACTAGGCAGTACTACCCCTGTGAAGTACAGCTGGCATGTAGCCCTCAGTGCATGGGTACAGTTCACACCCAGACACACCCGCACGTGCACAGCGCTCCCCAAGACGCCATGGGTACAGTTCACACCCAGACACACCCGCACGCGCACAGCTCTCCCCCAGACGGCTCCAGAATCTGGCTGCTCAGCTGGCAGAACTGGGCTGGCACGCTCAGCCTTTGCCTTGTTCCAGAAAGGCCCCTCGTCCTATGGAAAGACTCTCAGGGTCAAAAGAAACTGAGTCTCCTGCCCAGCCCCGGTTCAGCGCCCTCCAGTGTCTCACTGGCTGCTCCCGGGCACTCCCCCCGGCTTAGCTGGCGGTTTCCTTTCCATGCCCTGCAGCACGGTGGGGCGGGAGGGGCCAAACCTCCCTGGGAACGGGCTGGGTTGGACCAGCCTTTGCACAGGCCAGGAGAGGGACCCCCAAATAACCCGGTAGCAAGGGGACTCCCTGGAGAAGACCCAGCTTGAAGAAAGGGGCAGAGTGGAACGTGGGCCTCTCCCATCTGCAGCCCCGGGGCCGTAATGAAGAGTGAAGTGTTTATGTCCCACAGACCCACTCCAGCTGGAGAAAGCCCCAGGGCAGAACAGCCTAGTGGGCTAAGCTCTAGTCCCACTGCCAGCGGAGGCCCTTCACTGCTGGGCTAGGGCACCCTCCCTTCTCCCCTCCCTGGACCCTGCTCCTTGTGGAGACGCTCTGCAGGCTCTGGCTCCCTCCCTGCGTGGGATGGTGCCACGTGATTGGGTTTTGATGGGAGCAGGCAGATCTTCGGTGGGCGTGTGCCCCAAATTCAGTGCAAAGTGGGCCAGGCGAGGTGTCTGATGCTTCGCTGATTCTGTCTGTGCTGCTCGTGCATGTCTGGGTTTGGTGTGTAATGTTATGCCCGTGTGTAACAGCGTCGTCGGGGTTCCCCCCATCCTGCACCCCCGTAGCAGCCAGAACAGTCTCCACCAGCCAGCAGAATAGAGAGGGGTTTATTGATTTTCCAGAATACAGCCCAGCATAGACGTGAGTGGCAATAGGAGGGGGGCTAGGACGCCCCAGACCCCTTAAGGCGGGTGCCTGAGGCCCTAGTCTCCAACCCCCTCCCTAGGCTGTCTCCATCATGTGTCCATCCCCAGACACCTCTTCCTCCCTCCACGGACTTCCTTTGTTCCAACCTCCTTCCCTCCCCCTAGTCAGAACAGGTCAGGGCAGTGTCTGGCCCCCCTGCTGGGCCTTGCCCACAGCCCAAGCCTAGCGACCAGCCAGATGCCCCACTATATCACACCACGGGACCGATGTTTTCTGTCCGGCAGACAGCGGCAGGTGTCGGCCACCTTCCACGAGGGGCTGCTGCTCAGTGCTGCATGGACAATGGCTCTCAAGCGACACCCAGGAGCACCCAACGGCTCCTCCCCTGAAAAGGACACACCTGGATACTCCATGGCTCCTTGCCCAAGAAGGACACAGACTGGTTTGGTGGTCACGTGATCAGCCCCATTTTGGGAGGCACCAGCGCCCAGAAGAACAATGGGTTTCCCTCCACACGGGAGGGAAGGATGCCCCCGTCTTGTCTTCACTCCTGCTCCGCTCCAGAAGCACCTTTGCAAGGGCCGGGGGGAGGAAGAGGTGCCGACCCGTCCTGACATGGGATGTTCTCCAGAGACTCTCAAATGGGCGGTTTGTTACATCTCTGCTAAGAGCCTGCATCAGGAATGTGCTTTCTTTAACAATCCCACTCTCAACCTTTTCTTTCTTTTTTACTAATAAGCCTTTAGGTGGTAGATTCTAAAGGATTAGCCTCTCTCTCTCTCTCTCTCTCATATATCACAATCAATAAGATTTCGTGGGGAAAAGAAACCTGGCTGGGACTGATTCATAGAACCGTAGAGTCGGGCGAAACCTCAGGAGACCGACTGTGGGCTCACCACGGCAGTCCTGCGGTGGGGAATCGAAGCCCGAAGCTCTGGGCTACATGTAGGCAGCTCAATCAGATTCAGGGTGGGAGAGGAAGACAGGCAGCTCCTGGTGGCCGAGGCCGGTGTGTGAGGAGACAATGAGTCTCCGTCACAGCTAGCATTGATCCATCCCGTTGTGGCAGCTTCCGCCGAGCACAGTTCAGAGGTGGAAATGCCCCGGGGGGTCCCACACTGATGGGGAGGGGCACCGCCTGCCGGCCAGCACCCACTTCATGGAGTCTATCTCCAGAGTGCTCAGTCCAACCCCTTTCATCAGCACAGAAACCGCCTCGGTAGGACTCACCGACTTTCGGTGGCGCTTGGCTCATTTGGGTGCTTTTGAAAATGTTCCCCGGAGCCAGACAAGGCCAGTCAAAGCGATGTGGTAAGATGAGGGCCAGACACATAAGCCCTCCTAGCACAGGCCTGGTGTGAGGCCTAGGCGCACCGTCAGGCCTTTGCTCATATAAAGCTGTGAGCAAGAGGCAGGCCCTGCTCACAGAATCTGGCATGAGCAGGGTTAATGGTAAAACTCTAACTGGCGCTAGGCACAGGCTGGAAACACGTTCCAGAGGGGTGGTAACAGCATCCTCACGAACATCTCGGTGCCAACATCCCCCCCCGGGTAACAGGAACAGGAGAGGGTCTGACCTGACAGCATGCTAGACACTGGCCAAGCCCCGTACGAGGTTAGGGGAGATATCTCGGGAACATCAGAGGTGGCCCCCTGGTACGTCAGGAGTGATGGGTGACTTGTTTGTCCCCGTGTATAAAATGTCCCCCAAGGAAGTTGTCTTCGTCCAGCCTTGGGGGCAGCGGCGAGTCCCGTGGCCACTGGGGTAGCTCTCGATTGTGTCTTAGCTCTGCCTCACACAAGCCTGGGCTGGATTTCCAACTCCTTAAGCTTTGAGCTCGTCGGGTTTCCCGCTCGACTCGCTCCCAGCTTCTCATGTGCCTGCGCAAGGCTGCAAATGTTGTCTCACTAATCTCCGGGGGGCCTTAGCCCTGGGGACCTGACAGATCTCTCTCTAGCCAAGGACTCTGTTTCCACGGGAACTTAAAATAACCCCTACACCACTCCTGAAAGCAGCTGCCATATACAGCAGTGGCTCCACGTGCTGCCCCCTCTTCTACCCCACAGCCTCCACTGGCCACCGCTCTCCATTATTGATTAATGGAGCCACAGAAGCAGTGTCCACAGGCAAGGCCAGCATGCGGAAACTCCCTGCTCTGACTTCTGCAGGCACTTGCCAGCCACTTCCAGGAGCAGCAATTCCCACAGGGATAATTACGCCAGACATGACATGACAGGTTGGGCGTTTTAGAACTCGCCACTCAAAGAATTCGATTTAAGCATGAGAGAGAAATGAAAGTTGTGAAATGAACAAACCAAAAATAACCCACTTGGCAAGCAGGAAGAGTAGTAACAACCCCCCCTGGGTCAGGAGATGAGGGAAGGACAGTGTGTGTTTGTGAGAGTGAGAGAGACACACACACAGATCTGCATTGCCAAGTTCCCTCCATCCCTTCCCTTTCTCCGTATGGAGATTGGGTACAGAAGTGGGGGGGGAGGGACACCCTGACATCAGCACACACACGCACCCTTCTACCTCCCATACCCTGCACAGCAAGCAGGAGGCTTCCAAGGGGCAGCTGCAAGGCAGAGGGCAGGAGCAGCATGACAGTGGGTGGAGGGGCAACTGAAGTGCCAGCACTTGCGAGCTTCCTGGCCAAACCAGTCAGGATCCCCTGCCAGAGACTCCAAGATCGACCCGATCCCGATCTACTGGTTGGTGACCACTGCGCTAGGTGGACTCCAAAGGGCCCCACACCGAGGGCCAGCAGAGGATCGGGAATATCCCGCGCCAGTCAGTCACACTGTAGCACTTCCCAGACTCACTCTCATCTGATTAGCTGAAGGAGCCTCAAAAACATCTCCTGCACCCTGTCGCACTATGGCTCCATCTGCCTGTTTTATGGATGGGGAAACTGAGGCACAGAGTGTTTGAGCCACTCATTCACGAGCCTGCCCAGCTGCTGCAGGGAAGGAAAGACAGGACTCCCCGTGCCAGCCCTGTGTTCTAACCACTACTCCACCCTGTCTCACCTGCTTTCAATTCGTTTCTCTTTGGGGTTACCCTGGCATGCCAGCTCCCTAGCTCAGTTCACCCCTAAAGTCTCAGTGGCAGAGGATGGGGGAGGGGATATAAAAGGAGGGAGGGAGGCAGTTGGCAGTCTGTACACACTGATAAAGAAACCCCCTTGTATAGACAATGCCTCTGTTCCCCTGCAGTGACTCGAATCCAGCCACGCACGTCTGGAGCCAGTGCAAGAGAGGGCAGGACGCGGAGCGATGGTCTCAAGCTGCAGTGGGGGAGGTCTAGGTTGGCTATTAGGAAAAGCTATTTCCCTATTTCCCTATTTCCCTTGCCCCCCCCACCCCATCACCCTCTGAGGGCTGGATCTCAAAGCGCTCCACCCCACAACCAGAGCCCGATTTTCAGAAGGGCTCGGTTCCTGTGTGAGGTAGGTACATGGGGTGATCACAAAGACCTCTGCTGCTCAGAACCCCACAGCTCCACTGAGAACAAGGGCTCACCCCACCCCTCATTGAAAATAACGGGGGCTGCCCGGGGCTGGCTACCACACTGGAAATCAAGAAGCCAAAACTGGAAGCTGGCTCCAGGTATTAACATCTGTACTGTTAATAAAAAAAAAAAAAAAAAAAAAAAAACCCAGCGTGGCCCCTTTAAGAAATGCTTTTGAGGCTTTTTGGCCCTAACAGGGTGCTGGCAGCCATCCGACATCCTGTCACCCAGCTCTGGGCCAGACAGCTCCCCTGCGGAACCCAGTAAGCATCTGGGATTTTCGCCTCCTGGCCGGGAAAAAATCAGAAAATACCAGACATTTTAGGACATTTTAGGTGTCCGGTATTTTCTGAATTCTTTTACTGGACAGGAGGCGAAAATACGGAACTGTCCGGGTCAATACTGGACACCTGGCAGCCCTACTCTCCTCTGACCTGGCGGGTCCCAGGAAGGGATGAACGGGGCGTTCTCAGCTGCTAGCTTGGCCCCAGCACTGGCTCTGCGTGTTTCCTTTTGCCGAGCTAAGCCTGACACTGGGGCAAAGAGGGAAAGCCACATTCCACTGTGGATCCATAGCTCAGATGTTCAGCAAACAACTCTGGGTGGAGGCTACTCCCCAGCCCCACCCCTTCTATGCCAGGCTCTGCCCATGGCCACATAGCAAAATTCATTACATGGCCCCCCGGCAAAAATTATTGCCCTCCCCTGACCGAAAGTGAGGCTTGGGGGCTGGAATTTTCCAGACAACCCAGAGGAGTTTGGCCCACAGATCAGGATTCCCTGTAAGTGGAGCACACGGGCGGCCAGGAGAGATTCAAATACCACCCAGGTGATTAGCAGAGCACCCACAACCAGCAGCATGTATGTGTTTTTACTGGTGGTGCACATCCACACATGCCTCGGTGCACAGAACAAAATTTATTCCACACTCAGGAGGGAAAAATGAGAAGGAACATTGCTGCAGGACCCACTGGCTGTCAGTGACATTTGAAACCAAACTCTCTTAAGTTGTTTTGAAAGGATTTAGGGGGATCGGCCCTAACCCCTGCCCTAGGCCCCTAAATAAGCAAGTGTCATGCGCCCAGCAGTGCCTCCTCCTGGGAGGCTGTTTTCACTTGCTCCTGTCTTCCAGTACAGAGGTGAGCACAGACTGCAGCTCCCAGCATGCACTGCTCCATCTGGTGCCAAGTGGAATGGGATTTCTAAAGCAGAATTGACATCTGCAGGATGTCACGCAAGGATCTCAAAGCACTTTGCAGAGGGGGCTGCACTGACCCGTTCATGCCCTTGGCAGTATTATGATATAGCTGGGGAAACCAAGGCACAGAACGAAGGGCAGTGACTAGCTCAGCATCAGCCAGTGTGTCCTGGGTGTAGACTCCAGCCAGATTCGCTGACCTCTGGTCCTAGACTGGACCCCCAGTGTGTGTGTTCTCTGCTCCCACCAGAACCCTTCATCTAGACTTTCTAGAGCAGGGGTTCCCAAACTTTTTACTTTAGTTGGAAGCTGTTTTTTTTCAGTACTGTTTTTGCAGCCCCAAAATATAAATGCATATAAAAAAAAGAATGAAAAATGAATCAATGTTCAGTGTTTCACCCGGCTGCATCCTCCGCCCAGCCCGGGCCATGGCTTGGGGGACCCGGTGCTGCACAGGCGCTCTGGGAGCCTGGAACATCCGACTGCATCCTCCGCCCAGCCCGGGCCAGGGCTTGGGGGACCCGGTGCTGCATAGGCGCTCTGGGAGCCTGGAACATCCGACTGCATCCTCCGCCCAGCCCGGGCCAGGGCTTGGGGGACCTGGCGCCGCACTGGCACTCCGGGAGGCGGGAGCAGGAGCAGATTGGGGGTAGGTATCTGGATAGGAGGGAGAGTGCAAAGAGGGGACTTGGGGAGGAGTT